TGACACTGTGGTATATGTTGACGCTGTTTGATAATTCACCCTCACGTGTCCACACTGTGGTATATGTTGACGCTGTATGATAATTCACCCTCACGTGTCCACACTGTGGTATACCTTGACGCTGTGTGATACTTCACCCTCACGTGTCGACACTGTGGTATATGTTGACGCTGTATGATACTTTACCCTCACATGTCCACACTGTGGTGTATGTTGACGCTGTATGATACTTCACCCTCACGTGTCAACACTGTGGTATATGTTGATGCTGTATGATACTTCACCCTCACGTGTCGACACTGTGGTATATGTTGACGCTATATGATACATCACCCTCACGTGTCGACACTGTGGTATATGTTGACGCTGTATGATAACTCACCCTCACGTGTCGACACTGTGGTATATGTTGACGCTATATGATACTTCACCCTCACGTGTCGACACTGTGGGATATGTTGACGCTGTATGATAATTCACCCTCATGTGTCGACACTGTGGTATATGTTGACGCTGTACGATACTTCACCCTCACGTGTCGACACTGTGGGATATGTTGACGCTGTGTGATACTTCACCCTCACGTGTCGACACTGGTATATGTTGAAGCTGTGTGATACTTCACCCTCACGTGTCGACATTGGGGGGTATGGTGACGTTCTGGAATTTTTCACCCTCGCGTGTCGCATTGTTGTATATGTCCTCACGTGTCGACACTGTGGTATATGTTGACGCTATATGATACATCACCCTCACGTGTCGCCACTGTGGTATATGTTGACGCTGTATGATAACTCACCCTCACGTGTCGACACTGTGGTATATGTTGACTCTGTATGATACTTCACCCTCACGTTTCGACACTGTGGTATATGTTGACGCTGTATGATACGTCACCCTCACGTGTCGACACTGTGGTATATGTTGACGCGGTATGATACTTCACCCTCACGTGTCGACACTGTGGTATATTTTGACGCTGTATGATACTTCACCCTCACGTGCCGACACTGTGGTATATGTTGACGCTGTGTGATAATTCACCCTCACGTGTCGACACTGTGTATATGTTGACGCTGTATGATAATTCACCCTCATGTGTCGACACTGTGGTATATGTTGACGCTGTTTGATAATTCACCCTCACGTGTCCACACTGTGGTATACCTTGACGCTGTGTGATACTTCACCCTCACGTGTCGACACTGGTATATGTTGAAGCTGTGTGATACTTCACCCTCACGTGTCGACACTGGTATATGTTGACGCTGTGGGATACTTCACCCTCACGTGTCGACATTGTGGTATATGTTGACGCTGTGTGGTAGTTCGCCCTCACGTGTCGACACTGTGGTATATGTTGACGCTATATGATACTTCACCCTCACGTGTCGACACTGTGGTGTATGTTGACGCTGTCTGATGCTTCACCCTCACGTGTCGACACTGTGGTGTATGTTGACGCTGTCTGATGCTTCACCCTCACGTGTCGACACTGTGGTGTATGTTGACGCTGTCTGATGCTTCACCCTCACGTGTCGACACTGTGGTGTATGTTGACGCTGTCTGATGCTTCACCCTCACGTGTCGACACTGTGGTGTATGTTGACGCTGTATGATACTTCACCCTCATGTGTCGACACTGTGGTATATGTTGACGCTGTGTGGTAGTTCGCCCTCACGTGTCGACACTGTGGTATATGTTGGAGCTGTGTGATACTTCACCCTCACGTGTCCACACTGTGGTATACCTTGACGCTGTGTGATACTTCACCCTCACGTGTCGACATTGTGGTGTATGTTGACGTTCTGGTATTTTTCACCCTCGCGTGTCGCATTGTTGTATATGTTGACGCTGAGGTAAATTGTATCCTCGCTTGTCGACATTGTGGTACATGTTTATGTTGTGGTATATTTCGACCTCGCGTGTCGACAATGTGTGATGTGTTTACGCTCTGGTATATTTCACCCTCGCGTGTCCCGTTGTTATGAATGTTGACGCTGTGGTAGATTTCATCCTGACGTATCAACATTGTGATATATGCTTATGAAGTGGTATAATTCACCTCGCGTGACGACATTGTGGTATATTTTGTCCTTGTGTATAGAAACTGTGGTTTAGGTTTAGGTTGTCAAATTTTCGGAGCGGTCCGCTCCTTTCAAGAAACAGTGAAACAGAACAGTAACGTGTACATATACATCATATTACAAGAAGATAGAACTGATATACTATAATTGAAAATAGACCGTGCCATATCTTGCCCTTTTGTGTTGACACTGTGGCATATCTTACCCTTGTGTGTTGACACTGGTATATCTTGCCCTTGTGTGTAGACACTATGTCAAATCTTGCCCTTGTGTGTTGAGACTGTGTCATATCTTGCCCTTGTGTGTTGACAGTGTGGCATATCTTACCCTTGTGTGTTGACACTGTGGTATATCTTGCCCTTGTGTGTTGAGACTGTGTCATATCTTGCCCTTGTGTGTTGACAGTGTGGCATATCTTGCCCTTGTTTGTTGACACTGTGGTATATCTTGCGCTTGTTTGTTGACACTGTGGTTTTTCTTACCCTTGTGTGTTGACACTGTGTTATACCTTGCCCTTGTGTGTAGACACTGTGTCACACCTTGCCCTTGTGTGTTGAGACTGTGGTTTTTCTTGCCCTTGTGTGTTGACACTGTGTCACACCTTGCCCTTGTGTGTAGACACTGTGTTATACCTTGCCCTTGTGTGTAGACACTGTGTCACACCTTGCCCTTGTGTGTAGACACTGTGTCAGATCTTGCCCTTGTGTGTTGACACTGTGTTATATTTGTCCTTGTGTGTTGACACTGTGTCACACCTTGCCCTTGTGTGTTGACAATGTGTCACACCTTGCCCTTGTGTGTAGACACTGTGTCATACCTTGCCCTTGTGTGTTGACACTGTGTTATACCTTGCCCTTGTGTGTTGACACTGTATTATACCTTGCCCTTGTGTGTTGACACTGTGTCACATCTTGCCCTTGTGTGTTGAGACTGTGGCATATCTTGCCCTTGTGTGTTGACACTGTGGCATATCTTGCCCTTGTGTGTTGACACTGTGGTATATATTTCCCTTGTGTGTAGACACTGTGTCACACCTTGCCCTTGTGTGTAGACACTGTGTCAGACCTTGCCCTTGTGTGTTGACACTGTGTTATACTTGCCCTTGTGTGTTGACACTGTGTCACACCTTGCCCTTGTGTGTAGACACTGTGTCATACCTTGCCCTTGTGTGTTGACACTGTGTTATACCTTGCCCTTGTGTGTTGACACTGTATTATACCTTGCCCTTGTGTGTTGACACTGTGTCACATCTTGCCCTTGTGTGTTGAGACTGTGGCAACTCTGCTCCATATATTGTTTTTGTTATCTGCTGGTATCATATCAGTATACCATGTTGTATTACATATGGGGCAAATAAGTAATTCCAACAGTGTGGACAAGTTTAGGTTGTCAAATTTTCGGAGCGCTCCGCTCCTTTATCAAGACACAGTGAAACAGAACAGTTACATGTACATATACATCATATTACAAGAAGATAGCACTGATATACTATAATTGAAATATAACTACTATATAAAACCAATAGTCCCCTCGGGTAAACACAGCCGAAGGCAGCAATGAAGCTGAGAGCATCGCGGACAAGGAACGCTGATAGTCTTAATATCAGAACGCTCGCTGGCCTGTTGTATTACATATGTATATAATGCTTTTTTTTACATTTTTACAAAATGCTATTTTTTCTGTTTGAAATATATGATGTATTTCATTATTGTTTCCAACAATGGGTCGATATCACTTACATTTGATACTTAGGTATTTAATGGTGTTGTCAGGAGTTTCTGATGTATCATTGTAACTATGGGGGCAGTTTGGGGGATAAACCATACGAAGTACGTTTTATACATCAATTATCAATACGTAACAGATATTGCCGTTTCAATGGAGATTAAATCAGCCGTTATATATTTCATTTTTTTTCATTTTTTTTTCAGTGGAGCCCTAGTTACTTATCTGTGCCTGAAAGATATTTCGAGTAATCACGGCCGAACAAGATGGAGGATGTTTTACTTTCATAGAGTCTGGAGGTGAGAACACATCATGTAAATGGCTAAATGACAATTTGTGTTTGATGCAAAGCAGCGTATTGCGTCTGGCTTGTTATTCCATATCCTGGGTGGATGTAGCAGAACAATGATAGAGTTGTAATGCTGTAATTGCACATGGGCAGAGTTTCATATTGCTTGGATGTGAAGTTATAGAGCCCGAAAATGTTCACACACATATATATATGTGTGTGTGTGTGTGTGTTTTAGGGGGAAATTTAATATGAAGTCATATGTTGTATATACCGAAACATTTATAGAATGTTGACGTGACGCTATGTACAGACCCGTGTGTGTTTAGTGTTCCATTTTGACCTGGATAGGCAGAATATCGCTTAAGCTTACTCAAAAGAGCGTCAGACCAGACAAGAAAGCCAGAGGTCCTGGGTTTTACCTTTTGTTGAGTCGTTGAACAAAAATCGAAAATTATAAAACCAAACATTGTTACCTCTGCACGATGCCTCGTGGTACAACGTAGGTTGATTTGAAAAAAAATGTATTACTGTGATGCATCGCTGTACCAATTGCGTTTATATCAGACACAAACAGTATTCCGAGAATTGTTTTACAAAGAAAGCTATCCATATATACGGTGTTATACATACCGTTTCAGTAGCACTTGCGTATAACTTCCGTAGTATACAGGTAACGTTTTGCGTTAAAGGTGAAATAGCAAACGTGTACAGGTATGTGATTTATTGCTAGACTCTATAAGTCGTGGCACTTTGATCTCAAAAATGTACAATGATCAATTCCTTAGCTAACCCTAACCCTAACCCTGAACTCAAAAGTTCACAAGATGGTTTATCTCTTACACGTACTTAACTAAAAATGTTTTCGTCTGAAAATAAGCGGCTTTGTTTGGAATTCTTTGTTAAAAAAAGTAATTTAAGTGTACGATATATTGCGAGAAATAGAATATTAAATAGTCTCGCTATATTTAATGCAAGCATTGCAAAAGTATGCTTGAAATTTAAAGCTATATTTGACATTAAAACAAAAAACACCGAATTAATGTTTACCTTAGACATATCAAGAATGTTAAGCAAGGTCATGTTGATTCATCCTAAACTTTGATTAAGGTCTTAAATTAGAAAAATGTAGAAGTCAGCTTGACCTTTGAGCGATGACTGAAAGCTTTTCTATACAACGTTAGAGCTACGTATATACATAACTCCCTGATAGTAGCGATGGCCCATGACATACAAACTTAAAGAAAACGTTCCCATACATGTACTCGACCAAGATATGAAGTTAAACAAAATCTGTTTATATATGAAGTAGATAGAGCAACAAGAAAATGTGATATATATGCACGTACATAACACCCCTCTCCCCCCACTTACAAAACTTACCCACACATCCTCCGCGCGAGGGGATAAAACGTGAAATGAAGAGGCCTGGTACCTAAGCCTATCAGGTTACATTTCAAAACAGTGTTTACTATCATGTTAAAAAGGTATTGGTGACCTCGTCAAAACAGGGTAACTTTCCCGTCACAACATAGCGGTGACCTCGTCAAAACAGGGTAACTTTCCCATCACAACATAGCGGTGACCTCGTCAAAACACGGTAATTTTCCCATCACAACATAGCGTTGACCTCGTCAAAACACGGTAACTTTCCAATCACAACATAGCGGTGACCTCGTTAAAACAGGGTAACTTTCCCATCAAAACATAGCAGTGACCTCGTTTTAATCGAGGTAGTCAATGCATTTTACGAGATTAACGCGTTCTAGCGAGACACTTATAGTCCTCCACAAGAAAGCTTATGCAGTTAGAGATTGAATATTTTTTGAAATACTTCAAATTTTATGACCTTAAGTGCTGCATTCACAGGATTGTTTTACACAAATCCCGAAGAAAATATATAAAGAAAAGACCCTATCATTATGTAGGTTCTTTGGATATAGAAATTCTGCACTCGTCTTTGGTCAGAACCTGGTCCAAATTGTAAACCATTGTGTGTTTGTTTTATTCTCCCTATAACCTTATATAATATACATTATTAGTAATTTACCGGCGTCTTAAATGACAGCAAGTGGTTTACGGCTGCATTATATGTCTCAAAATGCTGATTTTAAAATGTTATCCAAATCGTTGGCTAATTACGAAAATAAAATGAGTCTTACGGATCGCCTTTTGTTTTCCACGGCTTAAATGACCGATCATACCATTCAGGTTCGCCATTTTGTGTATTTAAGTTTATTCTTAAATATTTAGCACGTTTTTCAAAAAATGAGCCTGTTCTCAGCTCATATTCTGAGAATGAAGACTTAAAAAGATAGTGTGCTAAAAGTTAAGCATTTTTTTCAAGTTCAGAATTGAGTATGCTTTAATCAAGCATTGAACTGCTTTTGTATGGTATTTATGATCTATTGTTTTCGTTGTAATAAAAGTGTTTTTTATTTTATTTTTTATTTTGCACATAAATTTACACAATGACATTGTCAAATCTCACAATGCCCAGTGATATTTCAGCAGCCGTCGTGTTTATTTATATTGGATATTGTAGTTCCGGTCAGTGTTGTATTAATACGCTAAGAATTTTGTCTCGCGATGCATGTTGATTTAAGTCCCATCAACGACACGGCTTTCAAAGAGGCTATATAGTGACAATGCCATGCAAATGTAAATATAAATCTTTGAGATACATTTTTGAAATATTTACTTAAAGTTAAGCATATGCTTTGATCATTTTTACAAATATAAACAAAAGAAAGAAAACAGAAGAAATAAAACTATAGGCCATTAATATTACACTGAATGAATGACAAGACTGCCTAGAAAATAGACATTTGAAATCGTACTCTGCGTATTATTGAAACTGAAGAATTTTTCTTCTAATGTTATGCTTTATTTGTTTTCTATTTTTAGACTAACCCCAGCTTACGCCTTTTGCCTGATGATATTTGCTACACTGTCCAAACATTTTATCAGTGGACCTTACACTGCGGTATATGATGCCGAGATGGCTGACCAATACGATACGTGTTCCTCCTCGTGGTGGTCAAACCTTCTGTACATAAATAATTTCTACCCCGACAGTGGAAGCCTGGGGAAAATTGTAAGTATATTCAGGGTTGATGGTTGTATAATGGATACCTAACCTGTGCATGTGTAGGTTATGAAGATATCTCGTGCTAGCATGTATGCTCTGTAAGTGTGTGTGTGTGTGTGTGTGTGTGTGTGTGTGTTTCTTTTCATGATTACATGTATTAGGAAAAAATCGTCGAAAAAGAAAACAATTACAAAATAAAAAAGTATATTCAGGGTTTAACAATATGCGGTGTAAACATGCTTTATGCCTTATCTTACATCATGATTGGTGTCGTTTCTTTCGCGATTTTTTTGTCTATTATTAAATTACCGATCCTTAAAAGGTCAGTGCGCTATATAGCTAATCATACTACAGAAATAAAGAACCTATGTCACCATGATAGTTATTCCGTTACATAAAGGATATTATAGTTTGAATGTAAATATCGGCGAACCATACACAAATTATAACTCCATGGAAGAGTGCCATTTCAGACAGCTGGTACTGTATATCGACTTAGGGTTTCCTCAACTCAATATGGAGGGTAAATAATCAAACTTAATTTTGCCTCTTTATGTTCTTTCTTTGCAAATGTATCAATTTTATACTGAATTTATAACGTTTAGAATTAACAATAAAAAGGTTTCGAGTTCGACAAATTGCTTACTACATGTATTTATTTTCATCTTTTATCATGATTGACAGGTTTTACATCAGTATCTAGGAAACGTATGAGCACTAAAAGAAATATTATGTAATAATACAAGTGTTTATAAGGCAAAAAAGTATTTTTTTTATTTTTGTCAAATTTTTAGAACTTCATGATAAAATTTAAATATGAGCATTGGTTCCTATCTTTGGAGAACACAATTATCATAAGTGAGTGTTTCGTTTTGTATCAAGAAGTACGTTCTATATATATAATTCCGTAACCATAACTTCGCCCTTTAGCTAGCTACAGTTAAAGCTGAGTACTTCCTTTCCAAGAGGATGTTCCTGATCCTACCAGATTGAAACACATTGCTCCGATAAAACCAATAAAAATATTTTTATTTCAACGGAATAGCACGTCATTAAAGAATTATTTGAATCAATTTCTCACTTATTTATTCCAGTGTATGGCTTGGACATGGTATCTAGCCAACGATATGCAGTTTTTCATCATTAGTCCTATCTTCATCATCTTACTTCTGCGGTAAGATAATTATATAAAGGCATAATATTGAAAACAATTCAGTCATAAAATGTATTTAAACAGTGAATACAGTGTAATAAACATCATTTTGTTGAAAATATCACTGAAATAAAATACACGCATTGCTTTGAATAACTCGGAGAACCAATGGTCATGGAGATGGCGTTTTTTCAAATGAATTAAGAATCCAAAGGCGGTGGTAATAATTTTATCCTGAAAGTCGTGAAATTAACATATCAGTTTGAGGGTCTGCATTGACAATCTGTTGCTTTTTTCCTTATAAATATTACAACAGATGAATATTGTTTTTATTTTAAAGTGAAGTTTTCTGATATTTTAGACACAGTCAAAATATCCTTAATTATCACTTAATAGATATAGAAAATATTAACTTTACATTTGATGCTAAAATGTTATCAACAGACGTGCACTAAACACGATTAAACTCGCAACAACTCGTGAATGTTTTCACTTGAAAAGACACATTAAATCTGTCGATCATTTATCCTTTAAATATATTTCTCTCGATGTGCTTATCTTCTCTGCAACCATAAAATCGACAAAATCTACGAATATTTACACTCATCTGACGGTTCATTTATTTTTACTTATCTGAAAATTGTTTTTATGGAACCCTCTAGATCCATTCTTTTTCTGATAAATGCTAAATGAATCAGAAAGGAGCATCAAGAAAAATCGCGAAATTAACTTGTGCGTAACCCTTCTTTAGTTCTTAAGTCATACATGCACTGGTCAGTATCTCATGTCACGCACCAGTCAAATGGGTAATGGTCCGTTTTCCCCCCTTAAACATTCAAATGGTATATATAAAATAGTTAGATGAAGAGAGGAACCCTTATATTTCGTAAACGTACATTGTGAACTATCAAAAATGCTGGTATTTTAGGTTATTATGTTTTATATGACTTCAAATTGTTGTTCAGTGTGCATCTATGCCTCTCATGAAATCTTGTGTTGTGTTTTAGTTACCGGAAAGCAGGTATCAGTGCATGTGTAGCGATGATTATTGCATGTGTATTTGTTCGCCTGATGACGGCAATCGAGTACGGAATACACTTACCTAAGTAAGTATTATTAAGTGATGGCTGACTGGAAATGTAATTCATAAGTTGGATACCAGACAATATGAAAAAGCAAGTTGTTTGAATCGAAATAGGAAAGGAGGATGGGATGGATTATAAGTTGGGATGTAAGAGACAAAGTTGTGTACATGAGCTGTTAGTCTCACGTGCTATTAGACATTTCTCATTTTGAGGCAGACCTAGCACGGAGCCAGAGACGGACACTGAGAGTAGTAAATTCAGGGAACATCTCAAAATATTTTTTCATTTCATCTGTTTTAAGGATTGATGTCCCCCTGCTTGCGACAAAACAATAGAGAATTATCTGTTTGTGTTCCTTACCTACAATTTCATTCCCTGATTATCAAAACAATTAATACACTTCTCCTGGCTGATCTCACCCTACTTGGAATGTTTTTCAGAAAACATTTAATTTTTAAATTACAGTTTAAAAACAAGGACTCTGTGCATGCTACAGTTGATTGCATTAGTATAGAAATCCGAAAATTCACTCCCCTGAAAGTATCCCCTAGAACAGTCTTCTAAGGATTTTGCCCCCGCCCCCGATAATTTGTTACATCTATATTATTTGGACCTAAACTAAGATGTTTAGAGTAATTTTACACCTTTTGGGGGATTTGTGGCATTTTTACCGAAAATGAATCGAACACAGCCCCCCAACGTGTAAAATTACTCAAAACACCTTAGTTTAGGCCCAAAAAGAGAAAGGTCTATTAAGAAGGGGAAACAAAGCGACCCCTTAGGCAATGAATGGTTATCTTTTTCAAACGTTTCTACCTTTATTGGGATAACGATAGAAACCCGTCATGTTTTACCAGCGAAGCGGAACTGCTTAAAAATATCGTTTATCATAGTGCGACAATAAAATGTGTTCACTAGTATACTTCACATATTTTACATCTATGCATGTGTAAAGTGCAAGGAGATCACAGTTAATGCCTCCATGGACAGGAACAGCAATTTATTTCATTGGACGGAGAGCTTTTATTTGTTTCTATGTAAAGACTTTGTATTCATGTACTTTTAAATAGTGATGCTTCATTTCGCCGTATTTCAGTCAAGCTGTTACAAAGCACACTGATGACATATACGCCACCAACACCACGTACAATCGGCCTTACACAAGGATCGCCCCATATATGGTTGGGGTGTTGCTTGGTTACCTGTTACACACCAGTGACTGCAAGGCAAGACTGAACAAGGTAGCTGTTGCGCATGCGCGTACTTTTTTGTTACCTACTGTGGTTCTTTGAATAAGTATTTACCTTATTTGATTGTGTAAAACTTTGATATTTGAAGTTCATGAATCAGTTCATGGTTGGTATAAATACATCAATATTTAAATTAAGAACAGAAATTGGAATGATTTCTTGAAAAGAAACGCTTATTAGACGTACTTTTTTTCAACGATTTAACTAATAACGAACTAACGATTATGAAGAGTGTTTTATCAAAGAGAATATTATTTGCCTTGTTTATCTCATTACGATAACCTTTTTTCAGTCGATAGATATAAAACGTTCATAGAAAAATACCTTTTCTGTTTCTGATGTTGTCGTATAATATCACAATGATGTGCATATCCTCATGTACACGCTTATTCAATTGACTGTAAGATCACAAGCATATGGCCTTAGTTGGATTTATTAAAAACATTTTTTTTCGGAAATGATAACTAGGCTTCGAATATCTTTGTTAGTTATATACGTGCATGTAAATATATTTATATGAAGATGACAAGTTCATACTGATATGTTTTTAACAATAAATATTTTCAGATAAGTGTTATGATTGGTTGGTCATTGGCAATTGTCATGGGAATGCTGCCGGTGTATGGGTTGTACCATTACTATCACTACGAAATTGAAGACGCTAACTTGGCACTCAGTGCATTTTATATCAGCTGTAGTAGACTGTCGTGGTCACTTGCTATTGCATGGGTTATTTACGTATGCGCAACCGGATATGGTGGTAAGTTGAATAATATAATATTTTGTCGGTCAAGAATAGCTTTATATGGTATTACTTCAAACTTCAATTACCGGCTTTTGCTTTATTCAATACCAATTGATGACGTTACCATACCATTAGTTTGTTGTGTGGAAAGTTGCATCAGTTGAAGTGATTCCGTTTGTCTTTATTAACCTTTCGTGTGGTATGAAAAAATATCGTGATTATATTGAGTAAATTCTTCAATTTTCTCTAAACGTCGGAGCAGGAGGATAATACTTAAGAACAAACTCATTTGAATGAAATCTAATCATCTCCCTTTGGTCACCCTCTATAAACACTGTAACATACTCCAAGCAATATGTCTAAAAGAAAATCAACTGGAAAGAAATGCTCTTGAGACGTTTAACTACTGCTAGTTTTCTTTGTATATGAAATATGCAGATTGTGAGCCGAACAATATTTAACAGGATCACTTCCGTTCGATTTCAGGCCCGGTGAACAAGCTCCTGTCGTGGACAGTATGGGCACCGCTCGGACGACTGACCTACTGTGCCTATCTCGTCCACCCGCTCATAATCACAATATACAGCTTTAATCTTCCCACGCCGTTCTTCTTTGGAGATATCCCTATGGTAACGTTGCTTTTAAACGGTTTTTTCAATTGTTAATTCTCCCAAGTTAGGTCATCATGAATTCGTACACTCAAGCTTCCCAGTATTTAAAAACGGTGCAATCAGTTACTTAAAAATGTGTACGCCGTCAAATGTAGACATTTGTTGATTAAAACGATGAACTTTGACACCTTTTTAGATTGTTGGATGTTTTAGTTAGAAAAAATCACCTTTACAATTGACAATGCTTGGTTTGATTGTTTGAAATTAAATAACAAATTTGTTTTTCAACTTGCAGGTATACACGTACATGGGGAACCTCGTATCGTCATATCTCATTGCCTATCTCGTTTCCATGGTGATCGAGGCACCAATGATGGGTTTAGAGAAGGCGTTATTTAAAAGATAAACATTACTGGGCGGAGAACACAAAAACGGTATAAAAAACTCACAACCAAGCAATATATACGGTTATTTCTGATTTCATGAAATAACAATGTGAATGGTTATGACTGTAGAATCATGGGTTATTTTGTTGATATGTTTTTAATAAAAATGTAAAAACACTATTGTTAAGTTTGTTTTAATTTATTTAAAAATTGAATTTATTTGTTTTTTTTTATATGCCATCGACATTAAAAAAAGTATCGATTAAGTTATTTCCGCATGCCGCTGTGGATTTTGAGCAGAAAGTGTTAAACATGTTTATCTTATTTCACTGGCGGCCGTTAAACCCCCGCTGTGCCTTGTGTAATTCATGCAAAGGTGTTACATGTACCTACCCTACATCAACAAAAGATTAGTTCTGTGGCTATTAATGTCGATAGAGCGGGCTATCTACTCTACTCTTCAACATGATTTGAGTTCTGCGAAAACTGGTTTCTATAGGGCGGGACTACCTATTCTGTACATGCACATCAACAATACTTTTTTTCTTTGGCTATTGGTGGCAATACGTGGAGGTTACCTACCGTGGAAATCAATAAGATTTTATTTCTATGGTATGCATATCTCAATATATCGATAAAAATGCACTCAAATCCACTAGACTTTAATTAATTTTCAGGCATAGCATTTGAACATATTCATATAAACAAGTAACTTCTACTAACTATTCCGATTAAACCCCTGTACCTGTTAAATTGAGGTTAATGGAATATACTAGATATAAACATTAGTTATGTTGTGAATAGCTGTTTCCTGTCCCTAATTGATGAACAATGATCGTTCTACGACTCGTTTAAATGTTAACATATCGACGCCGAAGACCTGCCGTGTACTAGGCCTCAGCCAAATGTTAGGTTAGTTTTTAGGGTTTTATTATACAGACGTCAGTTAGCTACCGTCTACCAGGCTTCAAACTGATGCTAGTTCTTAATATAGCTGTGTTCACGTATACAGGTATGATTTACCGTTAAACGAACCCAAACAGATAGTTGATCGAACGTTTACTGTATTACCGTATTGAGGTACATATATGGCCTACCGTTAACCAGACCTCAAATCGGTCTCAGTTCTAAGATTTACTGTGTTAACGTATCGAGGTATCACCTACCGTTAACCAAACCTCAATCAAATGTTAGTATAAGGACTTAGTTTATTAACATTAAACATTCTTTAACTTAATTAGTTTAATGAATTTTCCGCTTTTACCTTTGCCTGTTAAAAACATGCAACACCTATGTACATTTCTTCGATGCCATATGAACTCTCAACACCGAGTTTTTCCCACTTAAATTTAGACAACATTCGTATAACATCATCTATGTTATGTTGAGTAGCATACGTTACATACAACACAAGCTTCTCTTCGCGAATGTTTAAACAAAAAGGTAGCTGTTTGGATATATTATAACTGACATGTTCTGTGTCACTCATATCGCCGTTCAGGCCCAAATAATTTACACGCCCTGCTTGGCATGAAGCCGTGACAGAGGCTGAAATCATAAAAGGGCAAACTATGACACTTCAGAGTATCGTTTATGTTATACTGGCAAACAGGATTGAACTGGAGTTAACTATGCGACCTATTAGATACCATCAAGTTATTATTATTTATTTTTTTATTTCCTCCAAATTGAAGATTTACAAAAATATACAGTGTTGTCAAAATACAAATCAAATATTATTAATTGATACTTACATGCACATAAATACATCAGTTAACTACAGAGATGAAGAGAGATGTTAATGAATCTTGAATTAGTTTAGTAAATACAGAAAGAATGGTCTCGTTAACAGCAAACCATACAAAATAATTAGAATGTCTGGGAATCCTGAGGTTTCCAAGGGTTGGGGAAAGCCCTACCAACAAGGTCTTCTCGGGCTTACCCACACATAAACACACACAAAATAAGAGAAAAAAATAATAATTAGGTAGACATTGCTATTGTACGTACGTTTGTACGTGTTATATCATTATTAACACTGATACAACAGCAACATTTTGTCAATAAAAATAGCATTATGCAGTACAAAGGTTACATAATCAGTTGAACTTAATATGTGGGGAAGGCTACCCCCTAACAATACATGAATTAAATCATAATCAGACAAGAAGGATAAGAACATGCCAAGTTCTATATCAAAAGCCGTACTTATAAGACACCATAGATCGTCTCTTAGACTTTCAGTTTTTGTACAATGAATTACTATATGTGTTATACAGTCATTATGTAAAATACCACAAAAATGGCATAATTCAATACTATTTGTTGATCTTAAATTAACACATAATCGAACTATATTGCTTATCTTGCTTAGATGTTCAGGGAATTTTAATGCTACTGTCCATAAAATATGTGGAGAAATTACATCATGAATGAGCAAAAATCTTGTGAAATCTGAATCGTTGTTCATTCTATCGTACATCATTAATTCTTCCCAATTATAAACTGCTTTATAGGAAATTGACTTCCATGATGAACTACTTGGAAAAACTGTATCTGAAATATACTGCAACAGATAATTAAACAAATCATACTTGCGAAGTATTCTCACAATATCAGGAATAAAACCAGTTTGACAGGACTCCTTCAAAATATACATGAATAAGCGTTTGAGAAATATAGTATGAGTTAAGTAAACAGGATTGAACTGGAGTTAACTATGCGACCTATCAGATACCATCAAGTTATAGTGTACGCGCTTAACGACAATTCTGTTTTCAGGAAATAGGAGATGCTTCGTCTTCGTTGACAGGAAGACTGTTTTCAGGTATTCTGAATCCACAATTTCCAAAGGTGAATGTAAATCATTAGAAAATAGATAAGATTCACTGAAAGCTTTCCTCGTTGTTTTGAAGATAGTCGCGTTCTGAAAAAAATAGGACAGTATCTTGAAGTTACCTGTTGTAGCGAAAAAATGAAACAATGTAGAGGGTTTTAAAGACACCTTAAATTTTCTTTATTTAATGAAGAATAACTGTTAAAAAAATAGCAACAGATAAGCTTGTTCTAAATTTTTCATTTGTGATTGGTATCTTATTATACAAAAAAAAAAATGAAAAAAAAATGGAACAAATGAAAATGTCCATGTGAAGTATAGAAAAAAAAGATATAAAGACCGACAAGAAAAAACAAGCTGCTTAAGTATAGAAAAAATTACATAATAATAATGTAATGGGCAAAACGGAATGAATATTATATTAAGTACAAGTTAAAAACATATTCACAAAATATGATGATATCATAAAATTCCATTATTATTATCATATTATTCCATGATTTGACAAAAGACGTTGATTACGACCTTCAGTCAGTTAAAGTTATTAGTTCGTTATTTTGTGTATTCTTTCCATCAATTTTCTGACACAATTGCTTATATACAATTATATATTTATATTTACATTGTGGCTGCAACCCACTATATGAACATTACCAGCAAAATTTCCATTCATTCGAGTATGAAAGCCTTAACCCTTGTGACGATACACGTGATTTACCTATGACGTCAAAGATTAACCTTGTTTAATGAGAGTCTTGTCGTTTAGCTTTGGATAACATGGAGAATGCCCATGCGTCAAACGCTCAGATAACTACAGTTAATTATTGGCGCCAATTTGATCTAAATAGGGCTGTTCCGCCAATGTTGTTTAAAGGACGACGCATATACAAAAAGCAGTTAATAAATAAATTATTTAAGATCAAATATATAAAATGAAACAAAACTTATATAGTAAAAATGTAAAAATATGGATTGAACGGCGTTTTTTAAAGTTTCATGTCGGTATGAACGCAAATTGGTTACATCCATATTAAACATGAAGCCGTATGGATGTAACCGATTTGCGTTCATACCGGCATGAAAATTTAAAAAACGCCGTTCAATCCCTATATGCAAATATGTTCTTATTCAAGGTTTCACCATATCTATTTACAATATGTTACCTGACACAATGCACGCAAACTATACAATATATCATTCGGAAGATATATGCAACAATAGCATTGAATTTGAAGCTATTTCATTGTGTGAAGAGTCCGTCAACACATTGAAAGGTGTCACATCTTTGAAACATACCTGCAGCTGTAACGTATTCTGTAAAGTGGGTAGTCCGTCTTAATTTCTAGGTATATGAGCCTTTGCGTCCGCTGCTGATGCGTGACCAATGTGGAGGAGAATGCAAATATGACTTGTTGGTATGTGTATATGAGCACATTTGTGTGTCTTTTTATAAAAATAAACGCGAAAGACGACAGGCTAAATTCTGTTATCAATAGTTACAGGTGACATTGCACTTCTAGTTGCATGTTTCAAAAAATACGTATCAATGTTAGAACGAATTGCTTTTAATATCTAAAAAAATTACTAAAGGAAAACGACATGTTGTTTACAATGGAGGAAATTCATGTTGAATTGAGTATTTTCCGTGAGCAAAGCTGAGCAAAGATTTACCAATAATTTAACATGATTACCATAATTCTTTGTTGTCAGTTATCATTTCTTAAAACGTGATCAAGCATACGTCTTTGTACGAATTCAACGATATAGTCTTACTTTTAATTGTTTAGGGTATGAAATCGCCACAAGTTTATGAAAACCACTTCCTACTCTCGTTTCATCTTAAAGGTTGAAATGATGTTATTAACTTGATGTTGAACGGCATCGTACGCGTAATATACATTGTGCAATACGTAAGTTAAACTGGTATTTGGCCCTCAATTTAAACAAAAGGTGTTCGAAATGCCAGCAAAACTAACGTTGAAATATAATCAAACAATTTCGAGCGAGACAATTTCATTCATTTTCCCGCGTAGCACGTTACTCGATGTTTCTACCTGTACTGTGACCTCTCGCTTAATGCAGACGATCATATAAGTAAGTTTCAGCATATTAATGTGTTGGCAGCTTATATTTGTTTAAGATCCTTTACATCCACGCAACACAGAATTGATTGACGGGGCTAACAGGAAGAACGCGATCACCGCAGTTTTAACCCCCCACCCCGATTAAATGTAAAAAATAAAAAATACATTGTTTAGGTATTTGAGAAATGAAATAAATAACACCTGCATGTACTTTTGCAAAAATCCTTTTTAAACCTGTATCGGTATTCAAAAAATCAAAAATGCAAGTAATGTTTTTTAATGTGTAAAATATTGCATACGTAATGACTTTTTTTTCGACTTCAATTTAAATATAGTTGTACTCTCTTTTATATCGAATATCTTTTCATCACTAAAACGCTTCCGGGTTATATAGTTGTTCAATCGGTACAGTGTCCATGTATACAGTAGAGTCTATGACGTCACCACTATGCCGAAAGTCAAACACAAACAGATTTTGTCTAGGGACAGTCCAACGTTGGATTGAATGAGTGATTCTACGTAAGGGTACAGTTACCTTCTTATATAAGTGAATGTTATGAACAGAGAAGGATTATTTATCTGCAATCGTTCAGACAGTGTGTGTATCTTCTAATACGTGGCTACACATACTATACACATACTATTCTTAACCATTGTAAAGATGCATAGTTTATTATGAATGCACAGTGGTCAGAAAAATATCAACACGAATCGAGTTACCGACGTCACACTTGCGGGCGTTGATGTACATCTGTAAGATGCTTTCTGCGCATTACTCATGTTGTAACAGATAACATTTAGCAGTTTATAAACAGCCATTTGTATTGTACAACTCAGAACGTTAACGACGTTGCACCACATTTGTGATCATAAGTATGTGTTTTGGGCGGAGTTTTATTTGGGATGTGGGATTGTAGTGATGGGATATGGGGTCGATGTCAAGGTTAGGTTCTGTTGATCTGGGATGGGAAGGGTTGTGATGATTTGGTTTGAGGGGTGAGCAATAAAAAGTTTGAATTGATGTACGTTTGATTATTGTTACATGCTTGTGTTGCTAACAGATGAATACACATGGCGAATTAACGAAATGTATTATCGGGACAAACTCATATATGGTAGAATCATTGTATTACTATTAGACTGGAAAATTAGTGCATCGATGTTGCACGTCTATCGTTTACCAGCTTTAAAGACTTACTGATACTGTTGTAAATATAACAGAATGTTAGCGTTTACGATATATCTGAAAGCAAGTAACAAGAAGGACTATTTCTACACTCATAGATAAATTGTAGTCTTAATTACAAATGTTATTACTTATAAATTGTTATTCATCTATTCATCGTCTATTTAAAAACAGGAATGAATGGTGAAATTAACTCAATCTTTGATCCTAAACTCCAACAGCACAGCTATGCTATCAAAGGAGAGGAAGACAGCAATCGACATTGCTTTGGTGTGTCCGTCCACGCCACTGACCTGTTGTCCAGATTTTCTAACATGACCTCGTCTTCAAGTTAGTGATTTACCAAATTTATAATGTTTTCCATCAGAAAATTTAATTGCATCAATTAATTTGATGGATATATTACTTAATTTCTTGCTTTCAAAGTTCTTTAACAAGTTCT